GAATCTCACTCGCCCATCTGTGTGTGATGGGCCCTCCCCAGCAAGAGCCAGTACAGGGGGCGGGGGACCGCCACTCTGTGAATTTAGAGGCTCCCAAGTTTAGATCTCACCTCTGCTATGGACTCATTAGGTTTAGATGAGCCTTTCTCACAGCTTCCTCCTTCCAATGCGCAAGGCAGGGATAAATGATCTTGTCCTACTTACAGACCCAATTCGCACAACACCACTAAGCATGGGTTACTTCTCCCATGAGCCATGTCTCGACCATTTTGATTGCGCAAACCCCAATTAGGGTGATGTCGCATCTTGGCAACCATTTTCAATGACCCTCACTGAACCCAGACTTTGCAGCAGGAACTGAGTGTTGTTTTACCCTTAAATAAAACACGAAGAGTGGGTTTGCGCAACATGGCAACGATCCTGGGTTAAAAATAATAATCTGGCCACGCCACGTGAATTGGCCCACAGGGTTATCATGAAGATGTTATTTATTTATGTCAGTTTTAAACCACGCAATAGCCAAAGCTCTCTGGGCAGTTAACCAAAGTAAAAAAACACAATTAAGAAAAAAGAAAAAACATAAAACCACAGCAGATTTTTGAAATATCACAGACAAAACACTTGCAACCCTCCAATGCACTACAATGCCTATCATGATTAGGATTACCATGCGATCCCATGCTCTTCATGAGAACACGGCTTCAGACATGCTTGGAGTGCAGTAATGCCTCTTAATTTTTCAACAAAGCCCCTGGTATGCTGTACCAGGGCATTATAGGAAATTTACATTACGGCCACAAGTGCGGGGTTCCAGGAGAGGAGAGGCAGCAAGGCAGGTCTTGGCGGTAAGTCTTGACAGGATGCTGAAGTCCTGTGGCTGCCAACCAAGAATACTATGTGATGGCAGCCTGATGCTGTATCAGTTCACCTGCTTGGGGCACATGGACTGTGTATAATCTGACAGGCATCAGATTCAATCCAGCTCTACTTCCATGTACTATAACTAGTATCATGGCTTAGTATGTCAAAAGTTGTGCCTCAGTCATCCTGCATAGCAGGTCAATTATGGTACCCATTTCAGATAAGGGCAATAAAACCAAGACAGTGCCTGATTTGGTGAAATGGAGGTGCCTAGCTGCATAAGTCTGCAGGAATCACATTTGTGAGCAAATCTATCAAAGCATCTTCTTGCCCGTTTGCAGAACGTATGATGAAGCATGTAAACTGCATCCAGCAAAGAAGGAACCATATCCCTCTTCTGGCTGCTTACGACAGCCGGGTGACTGCTGGTCCAGCCAACCCCTTTCTACAAAGGCAAAGACGATTTCAACAGCCCTGTTTACTCCAGGAAGCCTCACAATCCTTGTCCCAGCCGAAAGACAAAATGCCTACAACCCCGTTTGCTTCTCTTTGTTCCCTTTTGCCACTTGCATCTTCCATTTCTTCCAACCCATTGTCATCTACCAAAAACAACTTTGATTGCAAGCTCTCAGGAGCAAAAAAATCCCTTTTTCTCTTAGGGTGCAACACAATGTAAACCGAAAAAACTGTAAAACAAATACAACAATAAAGATGCTTTTCCCTCGAGTCACAGCAGCATCCACCATCACCTTGTTTAAAGGAGCCCATTTCCCACCAATTTTATCCCTGGTTTAGAAGAGAAACAGTCATTACAGAACCTGTAGCTCAATCTCCTGTAACACAGGAAACAGAACACAGCAAATTATTAAGTCGAACCTCTTCGATGTGAGAGGAACATGTACAAAAGTCCTGACCTGACAACCAGGACCATCTCCCCAGAGCATCTTCCTAACTACATGGTAGAACATAGTTGTTCAACCAACTTGTGCTTCACTTCACAGTTCCAGTAATGCAAAGTATTCAAGAGATAAACCAAAAATCAATAAAGTACACTGCAGAATAAGGAGACGCGTTTAGATACTGGATAGCATCAAAACTTCGCATGCTGAGCTAGATTTTGGGCCGCTCCTCACTGTAGCTTTGACATCCCTAGTACCAAGTCTGACTGCAATTTTCAACCAAGCCCAGCAAACAGAAAAACAAAAATTCAGGAGGAAAGCCCATTTTGCTTAGGCATTTCCATTTCCCATCTGTCCTACAGAATCGCATCTGCAGATTCTGTATTGAAGATTGAATCCTTTGTTTTAATGCAAAATCACTACTATTTGTGGATCTGTATTTCCAAGATGCAAGTTCAACTACAATCCTAGCTCTGCTCAGATGTACGCTGCTGGGAGAGAAATCAGTCCCACCGCCAAGTGTGACAGGGCGGGAAGAGGTAACTAATCCATGTCCTGCAATGTTAAACACAACCAAGTGTAAAAAGCCCCCATCATTCCATTCCCACTTCTAAAAGAGAAACAAGAAGCTCTAGCCCAACAGTACATGGAGAGGAAAAATGTCAAGGCAGACTGCAATAATAGGGAAAATATAGCAACACTGAAGAAAACTGAACTGCATGCAATTGTTGTTATGCACCACCAAGTTGTCTCCAACTTATGTGACCTATGTATGAAAGCCCTCCAGAATAGTCTATCCATAACAGCTCTGCTCAACTGTTCTAATTCAAGGCTGTGGCTTCCTTTACAAAGTCAATCTATCTCTTTTTTGGTCTCCCTTTTCTTCTTTTACCTTCAACTTCCCCTAGCATGGCTATCTTCTCCAAGAACTAGGTAAAATACTTCCTTTACTACCAAACTAGTATTTTCCAAGTATTTTACTGCTCTAACACCACAAAATGCACCATTTATAACCTAGCTAGCATACCGATTTGCCCTACTGGACATAGAAGATGTTATGACAGATCACTATTCAATGAAGCCATTCCTGGACTACTTTTCATTGTAAAAGCCTGCCCTGTCAAGGCACTTCATATAAAACAATTCTACATACATTACTCTGTAGTAACACAGCTCAGTTCAGATGAAGCTAGCCACTGCTCACCTATTTCAATGGGTCCAGTCTAAACACAACCAAGTCCAGATCCAACTCAATGAATCCCACAGCATACAGAGAAACTTCACATTCTGAAGTTGTAGAGCTGTTTATATAAAAATCTTAATTCTACACATGCTGAGCAAGTAAAACATTATCTTAGAAAGCATCTTGCTCATTTACAAAGATAATATTTTGGGGAGGGGGGTTCTCTCAGTATTCCGCAAGCCTCCCATTTTCCCTAAAGGGGAAAAGGTGCTCAGGACAAAAAGGACCTCCTGAGGCTTTCACAGCTTCCTGTACAGAACACAGTATTATGCACGAGGCCCTTGGACTGCGCTTATTAAGGGACCTTCAGCATGCACTATTTTCCTGCCTTCCCTGCTAACTCAGTTGGATGCAAACTCAAAGCATTAGCAGATGTCTAACCGCTTTTTGAAAACTTCAAGAAAGAAGAAAAGACAGATGTGCAATTCCCACAGGCATTTCTATGTCTAAACTCATGTTAGAATCAGGTTATTTTTCCTAACATCAAAGCCTGTTGTACCGTTTCCTTATTTCACAAAGGAATTATGGCTTGGGAAGCCCCAGACAAATTTCTTCCCAAATAACATATATTTAAGGTTCATCAGATATAGGCTAGTTACTTTTTGATATCCTCTAAACACCCCTTTGTATTCATGGTCAGAGTGCACACTCCCCTACTTTTTCAATGAATGTTTATGGGTAAGATGAAGATTTCAAGGTTATAATTCTATTTTAGCCATTGCAGGTATTAAATCTGAGGGTAAGGTTAACAGCATTAAGGTAGCACTTCAAAGCATTTCATCCATATTACCTTAGTAATCTTTACTACTGGTAGGTTAGTTATTATTAAATCCAATATTGAAGCTAAAATAAAGGGGATTAGACAAATTCATTAAAAATGTTTCTAGTCATCATGGCAATAGAATGCCTTTACCACATTCCAAGGCAGCATCCTTCAAAATCCCTGATTAAGTGCAACATGGGTGGGAGAGGACTGCAGCCTTCATTTACAGCTTGTGGGCTTTTCACAGGCATCAGGTAGGCAATTGTGAAGAGCAAAACTCCATGAAGCTTTAGTCTGAAGTATCAGGCCTTGAATGTTAGATTTCAAGGCCTGAGAGGGAGCCAGTGGTGGCTTGAGCTCACTACTGAGGTGAGATTTGAATCAGGGACTTCCTGACTCACACTTTGGTGACACCGTGTCACCTTTCAAAGTGGTATTTATTCCTGCTTAACAGAATTACAAGGGAGAGCTCTTGAGTCACTTGCCTGTGGCAGAACCATCACTTCCAGAAATGTCCTTTCCAAGAAGGTATGTGGACAGATATACAAGAAACCCTGGACTAGCAGGATTTTCTCTAGCTAATGGAAGTGGAAAAAGCAAAAGAGGAAACATTTTGTTCACACACCCTATGATTAGCCTCTTCCTTATGCTGCTCCTGAAGGTAGCACTTTGCTCCTTCTCCTGCGTGACAGGAAGTGAACAGTGAACAAATAGCAACAGGCTCCACCTCCAAGGATGATAGGAAAGGACTTTTCTCAAGGGAAGTCTCAAATTTATAAAGTGCTCTTCTGAAGTCCAGAAACACAAACTTACCAGGGAGAAGGCAATGTTAAAACTATTGCCCATATTTATTCTACAATATTTAGTCAGAACAGAGAGATCCTAGAGCCACTTCTTCCGGATGTTTTACCACTTCTGCAAAAGGAACTCTACTGCACAAAATGAGCATGCTTCTCTTCTACATGGCCACCAATTCGAGCCTGCTGTGGCATATACACTCAATAGAAGAGAAACATGGGCACTTAGGGAGCCGCGTGGCTAATGGGGCGGGCTAGAAATCCAATAAATAAAATAAATAAATGACAGGGAGAGGACAATTCCATATAGGTAAGTTATTTTCTGTGACCATGCTGTCTTGGGTGAAGGGGCCATACTCCAGTTAAGATGAATGGAATTATATCCTTGGACTTTTAAAAACCTGGGCTAAAAAAAATCAGCTTGGCCACAAACTCACCGAATGGCCTTGGGGAAGTCACACTCTCACAGCCTCAGGTCCTGAACTGTATAATGAAAACAGTAATATTTAATATTTGCACAGTACTTTTTCACATTTTACCTTGAAAAGCTTTGCAACCACAATATAAGGAAGGCCTGCATTATTTTGAAAGACAAGCTGATAGTGACTTGTCCCTTGGGTTATTACATTTTTTCTTGCCATTCTTTCAAAATGGAACGCAACATGGCCAATTTGAACATTCCCAGGTTGCACCAACCTGTCAGACCTGTGTGGCTTCAACAAGGTTGCTGCATCATAAGCCTTCGAGATCATGTCCTAAGAAAGGTGAGATTATCCAAAGGTCTTCAAGGGTCACAGCTCAATCTTGCCATTCAGCCCAACTTGATATCTTATGGCCCACAACTCCCACACACCCCAACCAGAGTACTAGATTAGGAAAAGCTGTTGGAACTACTCAGCTTGCAAAGTGTCAATGGCAGTAACCAACCACCTCAAAGGATTATTGAGACAGCATACAATGAGAAGCAGTGGGGCCAAAAACACTGCAAAACTGGATCATACCACTCTGCTTCCCAGAACATGGCCTATGACTTACCACAGTACAGCCCCCTTAGAACAATGGAGGCATACAATTCAAAGTAGCTAAGCTATCCTTAGCTTGACTTATGGCTCCTACAAGGAACTAACAGAGTTAGGGTTGCTAAATGGGGATATGTTTTTAAAATGCTAGTTCCCATGCACCGTGACACTTCCTATCCCTGTGCAAACTGGCTCCTATTTAAAAAAAAATTCTGGAGCTTAGGAATTTGAAGTATTTCCCCAGCCCTTCTTTTGAGTAACACACCCATGTTTTCTGGCCTCTTAACGAGCAGCCATGGCATGCCTCATTACAGAAGGTCCCTCACTCCACTGTGTAGGTAAGTCTTACGTTCTGAAGTACTGAGAGCCCTCCCCTGTTCTCTTAGGACAGGCTTTCACCATCAAAATGGCAAAGTTTTCCACCTACTCCAGCTACCAGAAGCAGCCCTGTACTGGCTGTTTAATGTGAAAATTGCCCAACTCTCCACATAATCTGCAGGACCACTGCAAAAAGCAGGAACCAGGAAATGTGCAATGGAGGTGCAAGATATCCTCCCCCCCACATTCCTAAAAGACAGTTGGTGTTGCTCCATACTGTAAATTCCCTTTAATCACCATCCAGTCCCACCTTGACAGCTAGGAGCCACCTCATAAGCAAAATAAGCCACCCTACCATAATCTGAATTTGTAATTTTCAGAACTGACAGAAAAAAAATCTGAAATGTTATATGACCAGAAGTAGCCCAAGTGAAACCCTGCAAAAACCAGGTTATTTAAGAAACTGCTGAGTAATTTTCTGTCACAGGTGATAGTAAGACAAACATATGCTTGGGGAGGAAGGAGGAGCAAGCAATTCAAAGCATTAAACTTAAAACAACACCACATCTGCCCCCATCAGATTCAACAAGGGGCTATACAAAGGGAATGGCCAATTCAAGCTTTATTTACCCCTCTGCATCTTTACAAAGGACCGGAAGATAAGCATGAAAAGACACCCACTGGAATGGGGGGGGGGGGGGGGGGACAGACAACAAACGGCAAATAGGGGAGATCCAGCAGTATTTTGGGGAGGGGGCGGTCTCCAATCCAGAACAGCGGCAGACCGTTCCCATCGCTCCTATTCAGGAAAACTTCTAAACCCGGGGGGGGGGGGGGAGCCAACCCCACCACCTCCAGCAGCAGCAGCAGCACATGGGAGTGCGCTCTCTCTCTATATACACACACACACACACACACACACACACACATATAATATATTAAAAAGACCCCCTCCCACGCAACCCAAGACTTTCCTGCTCCTCCTCCCTTCTCGGAGCGCTATGCTCCCCCCGTCCCCGGGCCTGGCGGGCAGGCCGGCAGGGAGGCAGGCCCCGGTCCGCCTGCTCCAAGGACACGTGTCCCAGCCGGCGGCCCCACAGGGGAGGGAGCGAGAGAAAGCGGCCGCCAGGCCCATGCGGTGGCGGCCGCCGGGTGCCCTGCGCGGGTGCCATCGGGGCGGCGCGTGGGAGAGCGGCCGGCCGGCCGGGCGGGCGGCGGGCGGGCGAAGCCCGGGGCAGCCCCGGCGCGCCAGCGGACAGTACCCGATCTGAGCGGCGAGCACATGGGGCTGGCCCGGATCGCGGAGGCAGGCGCCGATCGCGAGGACCGGCGCGGCGGCGGCGGCAGCGGCCAGCGAAGGAAGGAGCGAGCGAGCGAGCGAAGGGGAGGAGCCGCGCCAGGGCCGGCCCCGCAGCGGCCTAGGGCAGGGCAGGGCCGGGCGAAGAGTGAAGCAAGGAGAAGCGAACACGTGGGGCCAGCGGCTGGAAAGGCCGGCGGGCTTCGGGCCTAGCAGGAGAGCGGCGCCGGCCTACCCTCGCGAGAGTGCGGATGGGGCGCCCGGCCCCGTGTGGAAGCGTCCCTGCCCAGGCGGGTTTGTCGGCCCGCTTTATGCACGGAGCTGGGCGACTGCCTGTCCCCACGTGCATGCGCGCACGCCGCCAAGGATTTGCCGGTACGCCCTCTGGGAAAGGGCGAAGCCTGGCTTTTTGCGGCGAATCCGCCAAAGGTCGGGCTCCACCACTTCCCAGCGGCTGTTCCGACATGCTTCCGCCCCCCACCCCGCCAACTGAGCACACCTGGGGCAAAGCAAGCTCTTGAGCGCCTTACAATAAGCAAGCCAAAAGGAACCGGTTAGGAATGGGAAGACGGCAGTCTGTGCACGCTCTATGCTGGTGTGCAAACCTACATTTCCCAGCATGTTGTGTGTGATCCAGCCATATGGGCCGTGAAGGCACTGTGGACTTGAAAGGAAAATAGAGACGAGTCTTCCATATACCAAACAGATGGGGGGTTTCCTTGGAAGACCATGACAAACAGCAGTGGCTACTACAGGTTATGCGGAGTGGGTGGAGCCCGGTAACTTTCAATTATGAGGGGAGGGTCTATGGACCCACATCCCAAAGCCAGGGACAGGCCAGCAGATTCTCAGGGCTCCTTCAGCACGGGGGTGGGGGGTGCTCCTGAATTCTACAGATGTGCCCACGTAAAGGGATGATGCTAAGCACACTGGGAGTTGTAGGTCCTTTTCTGGTCTAAGCAAGCATAGGACTGCTTCCTAAAGATGCAAAGCTGACATGCTCTAGCACCGCATACCTGTGGTAGAAAGAAATTTCCAGCCTCTATGAGAATTACAGAACAATCTCAAGCAGAAGAAAACTTCTGAATGGTGCTTGCCCCCAAGCAACTGTGCACTAGATCACTACCAGAGGCCTTGGGCTGCAGCGGCACATCTGGGCCTCTGTTAGGCAGATGTATTTGGCAGAATGGCTCTGTCCCTACAAAATACTATTCTCTCAGTCAAGGGTCCTGTTGGATGATCTTCAGTCCTATACATACACAATAAGAGACTGAGAAGGCAAATATGGAAAAGACTAAAGGATTCCTTTATATAAATAATGGAGAGAACAAAGGTATCTCTATATGCTCCTCAGGTTTATTAAAATTGATTAAACCCTACATACAATCCTTGAATTCATGTTCAGTGAGTGGGATGGAGATTTTAATCCACATTATTTTGCAGAGTACAAAAATAGATGAGATTCTGCATTAAAATGTCAGAATGTGGAGTAGGAAATTATTGACATATTCCAACATGTACCTATCATGGAATGGTGTTTATAAGGAAACTGACTCATAGCTTATTGCTATGAGAGCCAATTGTTTTCTCTTTGCCTGTTAGGGCTAATTTTCAGAAAGTTCTTCCAGAGTGAAATGTGAAAGGATGGAATTACAGCTGGAAAGCAAAACAGCAGATCCTGGAGATACTATGGATATTTTACATCTGGGGTGGAAAACAGGATGAACCCTGCAGAAACAGTCTGAAAGACTTACATATACAGAAACAGAGGGAAAACCAATTTTTCTTACATAAAATCAAAGAAAAGTTAAATGTTGGAAGGACAAATTTATGAAGATCTAGTTGTATCTCATACAAACAACAGAGTCAAGTTAAGATGCAGCATGATGGGAAATTCCAAACTCTAGAAAAGCCAAGTATCATTAATATACAGATTTCCTATAAGCTTAGAATCTTTCCGACTAAACCATGAAATAAATTGTGCTCATGAGAAATGAACCAGGTCATAGGACCTCAGGCAGCATGCACTCAATTATGCAGGTTACTGCCCAAACCCTATAAATATTGGATCAAATACTACCAATACTATAAATATGGCTGATGAGACTGTCTGCAGTGTTTAGCGTCTCTACATTTTGAGCAAGAACAGAGAAATGACATTTAGATAATGTGTGTGTGAGATTCTGGGACCTATAGATAAGCTGGGAGGGAACATGAACAAGTCCCCATAGCAATTTTGAGTTAGGAAAGAGCTTAAGCCATGGAAAATATGATTTGAGATAGTAGCTGGTTTTGAAAGTTTCAAACTGAGTTCTCATTCCACTCGTTAATTTGCTATGGGACCTTATGTTCTTTCAATACTTGCTCAACCCCACAGATATTAAGATGTACAAGTTTCCAAGCACTACAAGAACTTGAAATGGTAGTGTGAATGGAAATTATGCCACATCAAAGGAACTGGGGATAAGATTCAAGCCCCAAATTATCATGGAACTTGTGCTCGCCAACAGTATGAAGTACTATTTCAAGGAATAGGACTTAATGCTTTCAAGGGAAGTTCAACCCCAATGGATGTTTGTTGGGGAAAGCTGGAAATTCTACATGTACGTTTTTAGTGCAAAATTGTTTACAATTCTTGCTTCATTCATTTGTACAAAATTTTGGGGCTCTGCACTTCCTACAGTGCAGTGTAAGAGAAACAATTGTGAAACAGAAACCCTCTAGAACCTGGTGCAGAGGGAGTTTTGTTCCATTAATTATTTTATTGTGATTTGAGAGGTGCGAAAGGCTGTTTATACTGCTTACCCATCAGAACTGTAGTGGACTTTGATTTTAGGACCTACAAGTACTGTTGCTATCAGT